TGCGGTTGGTGCGTTAATGTTTATATGTTGTTGTGCGTGTGTTTGTTTGGAGATATGATATTGTACCGTATGTGTATTTGCAACATAATATGAGTTGTTATATAGTCATGGTGTATGTTGTGTTTGATTGTGTGTGTATATATTATATATATAATATAACTATATAAATATATAAATATAATATATTATATTATATATATATATATATATATATATATAGTATATAGTAATATATATACATATATATATAATATATATATATATAATATTATATATATATATATATATATATATATAATATATATATATATATAATATACATATATATACATAATATATATATATATACATATATATATATACATATATATACATATATATACATATATAATATATATATATATATATATACATATATATACATATATACATATATTATACATATATATATACATATATATATACATATATATACATATATATAAATATATATATACATTATATATATATATATATATAATATACATATATATACATGCATATATATAAATATCTATCCAGCTATCTATCTATCTATCTATCTATCTATCTATAAATTTATGTGGAAAGGTATCGTATGAATGAGAACGAATATCTTCACAATACAAGAGATGTATTTAACCGGTTTCGATTATATCTTCGTAAGAAATACATGTATTTAAATACATCTCTTGTATTGTGGATATTCGTTCTCATTCATACCTTTCCAAATTTGTTAACATGAATACGGTTCATATAAGTCTATATTCAGATTAAAAAAATAATAATAATAAAAAAAAAAAAAAAAAAAAAAAAAAATATATATATATATATATATATATATATATATATATATATATATATATATATATATATATAGATATATATGTGTATATATTATATATATTTCTCACCGCCCACCCCCCTCCCCGCGTCAACATCAAAGATTATTTGTGGCATATACAAAATATAGCAGTAGGGGAGATAAGTAAAGGTCGTACAGCATTATGATCAAGTATTGTGGCAAAATTATTTAAGTTAGGATAAAATATGTTACATATCCTGGGTTGCAGAGCACTGTAGCTTAGCATGGTAGCGAAAAGGGTAAAGAGGAAATAACAAAGCACAAAGGCCATTCAGGACCAACACAATGCAATCCTTTCATCCTTGCAGCACAGCTCTCACACTTTAGGATAGGGCCAGAAGAAGGGGATGAAGAAGAGAAGGAAAAGAAAAGGGGGAGAAGACCATGCAAAATTTAGCTGTGGTAAAGGCAGAGGGCCAGATTGGGGTAATCTCCAATACTGGGCATCAGTCTCCATCTCCTAAACCCCAATGACCACAAGCAGCATGGGTTTGGGGGGTGTACGTATGTATATAAAAATATAAGATGCATGTATACATACATATATGCATATATGTACATACATCTCATATATTGAATTATATGTATTTTAGGCATCCACCTTTTCATTTCTTATAAATCCTCATTTATGTACTCTCATGCCGTCTTACCCACAAAGTGTGCAATTTATATTCCCAAATATAATTCATGTTTTATTAGTTTCTTTTATATATTGTACCATGATGTTAGGAATTATGACAAAGAACCCCTTTTTTAGGCAGTATACTTTAATGTTTGAAGATAGTCACAACTTTCATCTCATAGATCATATAGACATTGATGTTACTGGATATGAGTATGAGAGGAAACCAGATTTTACATTGTGTAAAATAATTAACAACAGTGAATATTTTCCAATACGTTGTATAAACACACAAATTGGTGTGTAACATTGTTTCAAAATGTATGAATATATTTCATTTTTCCCCCAATATTTCATTTTCAAGTACAAAATGAAATGTGTTTCCATTTAAAATTCACAATTAACTGGGCATTTATCTCTTAATCATGACAGGAAAAAAGAAAAGGGGGGGAAAAAAAAATTACCAGATCAACGGAATAAAAAATAAATAGAAAATAATTGTGAAACTTGTGTGAGAAAAAATAAATCCCTTACCTAACAGAGGAACAATACCAATATATTTATTTTTTCAGGGTTTCCAAGAATACAACTAAATTTTTCTTTAAGGAGAAAACAAAATTAATTTTTTCTTAACAATGTTTTATTTTCATAACAAAACTCATGTCATCACAGTTTATAAGGAAATGGTATAAATGGAATGGACGCAGTGAACAACATGTCTTTTAAGGTGGCAATAGAAGTGCCCGTTTTGTGGTCCAACATTCATGATTTGCAGCAAAGAGAGTCCCGGAACAACCAGGTCCGCGGGCGCAATTTGCAAAAGTGGAATGAAGATTAATTAGATTCCTACCAGAAAAAATCCCTTACAAAACTACTATACTACCACTAATTTTACTTTTTTTTAACATTCTTTTTTTTAGTACATGATAAAATTTTGAAGATGTAGAAAGTAGATGAAAGAATAGTAATCTTACTGTATTCATGTGTACCTTTCCACTTACTTCACAGAAATATTAATAAAATGCTAGATTAAATAAAGGGAGTTGCATGATGCATTTGGCCAGAGATGTTATCTAGCAGCTCATGCATGTTTATGGCAACAGTTTAATTTGAAATTAGGAATGAGGTCATGATGGCAGTCTAATGTCTTCCACACAAAAGGAAATGACCCGAATCTTTGGACTTTAAATGCAACTATGCTACAGATAAATTGTTTAATAAACACTGATTTAATATTCTTGAGTACTCCAGTGAAGTTCTCATAGTTTACAGGTACACTTACACTTACAACCTAGGTTCGCAGCTGCTGTTCATCAACCGATCAACCGGAAGAGAGGGTAAGGTATGTATAGGATTTCAATTTATCTACCAATTTTATTTACGAAAGACTACCTCTACTGCTCAATTTATTCCAAATGAATGAAAACCATCAGCGTCAGTTACCCTGCTCAAGAGCTCAGATAAAAGTTCACATCTGAGAGTGGGTAGGGGAGATGGGGTGGCGAGGGAGGGAGACTCAACCGCGAACCTAGTCCACTAGATTCATTTGATAACATCTAACTACACAGAATCAAATTATTTAGACTACAATGACTTGACAAAGAAGTTGGGAGGCCGACTGAACTGCAACTTCTGCAGTTCCACTCATGCTCTTCCACGTCACCATATACACCAAAATCAACTGTCTACAAAACCAGTTTGTGGAAAAGAAGGAAAAGGGGAAGCCAAAAATTTACAACAGAATGCTTTATTTACAAGCAGGCAAATCATGTTTTCTGTCTTGAGAAATGCTGTAGTAACAAAAAATATTAAACTGGAAAAAGAAACTTCTAATGAGAGATTATATTACAACAACATTAGTATTAATAATAAAAAAGAAGTCACATTATCTTTATTATTATTACTATGATCGTCATCATAACAGTCAGTTACAAAAAAAGAAAGAAAAAAAAAAAAAAAGATTAATGTTTACAGAAAAGAAATGAGATTCACTCATTCTTCTTTCATCATACATCCTTTCTTTTTATGATAATTTTTCCATTTAGTTTTGTGCATTAGTTATTGCACACAGAGAACTTGCTTTCCATCAAGAGTAAATACTTATATAGTGAGCCTCCCAGTGACTGTCTCTATGATATGAAAAGCTTGAAACATTGAGAAAGTACAACTTCAACACCGATTCGAAGGTCCAATAATATATAAAATCCAGCTGTTCAATTCCTTCTCCTTGTGTCATTCTACTGCATGCTTCTTCCTTTTCCAAGATGATGGCACATCCTTTGGAGAAATTTGTTACACATTGCAATTGGCACAAACTTGTTTCCTTCTTGATGCAATTCTCTTTTTAATATTATCCAATCTGCTTTCACCTTGCCAAGCTGCTTGTCTGTACTTGCATCATTCATCTCATGTGTTTGTCAGTGTTTCTATTCCAGTCAGGGGAGGGAGAGAGGGAGAGTGGGAGAGAGGGAGGGAGAGTGGGAGAGGGAGGGAGGGAGGGAGAGTCTAGGAGAGAGAGAGAGAGAGAGAGGGAGAGAGAGAGAGAGAGAGAGAGAGAGAGAGAGAGAGAGAGAGAGAGAGAGAGAGAGAGAGAGAGAGAGAGAGAGAGAGAGAGAGAGAGAGAGAGAGAGAGAGAGAGAGAGATTCGGTTTCTGCTGGATTTAAACAAACTTTCTGTACAATATTAGTTCTGATGCAAGTACAAATTCACTACAAGGTCCTAAGAACATGACATTTTGATCTCCACTGCCACTTCAATGCCTTCTCTCTTTCTTTATTGACTTACTTTTGTGTTCATAACTACAAAAACTAAAGCCTTTTATCTTCTACTGGATGAAAGTCCCTCAGCACCTTTCTATCATCAATCGAGTTGTGTGTATACGGTCAAGCTCTCACTCTCACAGTCCTGTAGCAATAACGTCTACTTTTATGAAAATATAAGACAATAGAACATATATAAAGTCCTAATACGTCCCTTATCAACTTAAAAAATTGGTGAAAATATTCTGAAATAAATATGTAGAAATATAAGCTATATGAAAAAGGAAAGTTTACTCTGAATCCTACAAAATGACTGAGAGCAATATACATGTTTTTGAACTACTATTCAGTAATGATTCTGAGAAGAGAGGCAGAGATATTCTTTACAAAAGTAACATAATGTCAAAAGGCAAATAATAATCATAATGAAAATAATATCAAAGGTCTTACTACGATACTCATTAACATATTCTATGTTCTCCAGGCTAAAAGTAAATTTTTGCACCCATGTGATGGAAATATGCTAATGACTTTGGCATATTAAGTTGGGAAAAATGATCATCATATCAAAACAATACTCCCCCCCAAAAATGATACAAAATCATAACAAAAATAATAATGACACAACCCGCATCACAAGATTGCTCCCAGCGTTCCCTTAAAATATACTGGAAAGACACTATGTGCCATGATAATTGAGTTCACTAAAAACAAAAATGCACAGAGGCCAATACTCACCCAGCACTGTCATCACTTCTACCTAAATCAGTTAAGTAAGTTCTAGCTAATGCTAGCTAAATATTGCCCACTATGTACTGTTGCTATTTTTCCCTTAAAAATTACAGGTTTTATTAGAAAAAGTATTTTTTGTAGATACACTATGAAGACACATTTCTTCCCCCCCCCAACAAAATTTATCATTTAACTGATAAAAATATACATTCAACTTAAAATATGATACATTAACTGCACACATACATCCATGCACATCTTTTGGATGATAAGTTAAAGACCCCTTTAGTTTATCCCAGCCTGTTATCTTGGGCGAAAGAACGCCACACAAACACTGTACAGGTGAAAACATCAGACTCAGTTTGAGGAACATGACCCATTGCGCATTTTGACTGATATGGTCACTGAGTTACTTCAGTCATCAGCACAGTAATCCGTGCGCTGGAATCCATTGGAGGAATTGTTGCTTTCCTTCAATTTTATCCTGCTCCAGACAGTCCCTGGGAAAAACTACATCCTTCACAAGACACCGAGGCCCCCAACCATAAAATCATTAACATGACAATCAGTATCTCGTAATCTCAAATATTCAAAGGAGTTCTGCCTCAACAGTTGTCTGGAATCCATTATCTAGACTTCAGTTATAGTTATATTGATAGTCTGACTGCAGCTGACTTGCAAGGAAAAAGTTACGGGAGAACTGTAATCTCAGCTTCAAAGATATCTTGAAAACCCTCCCAGCCAAACCTAACCTGCCATTCAGGTGAAACTTTAGGACTGCTGGGGTTTTGCGACCACAACAACCATGTATATTGTAGACCCTTTACAGCCCTCCCTTACAAAAGAGCACCACAAGTGCATCGTCAGCTCGAGCTGTCTCCCTTTCATCAACCCCTCACACCAAATAGAATGTGACAATCTAATTTTCCATTAAGGGATTACCTACGTTACAAGAAGTATTGCTTAATGTATGCCAAGTACAGTCCCCATGCCAAGACAATCCAGTGACAGGAGTATATGGGATTTTCACCATCGGCTAACTTGCGGGCAAAGAACTTGAAGGTTTCATCCAATATAATTACAGGGAAGGATATATCCATCACTGCAATCCATTGCGCTACAGAGAGTGGCATAACATTAAACACAGTCTGAAAGAAAAAATATATATATATCAGTAAAGAGTATGTATAGGAGATACCACCATATAATAATTCTATTTTTACTCAACAATTTAAAATCTTTTTAAAAAGATAACTTCAGTGGTAAAGATATCTACTCAGCAGAAAATACTGTTCCAGGAAGCTTAAAATAAAATACTTCCACAGCCAACACATCACACACCACACATCCACACACCACACATCCACACCACACATCCCCCCCCACACACACATCCCCCCACACACACACACCCCACACACACACACATCCCCCCCACACACACACATCCCCCCCACACACACACATCCCCCCACACACATCCCCCCCCCCACACACACACAAATCCCCCCACACACACACACACAAAAAACTGCCACTCACCGAAAGGAAGTTGATGTAGAGAATGAAGAAGTGGAGGATCATGGAGAGAGCCATGGCCAGCAGGAGCCAGATGTTGACCCAAGGCGGCATTACCAAGAGGGACTGGTTCTCCGATACACTGGAGTAAAATAGGAATTGATGGAATATGGGTGATAAAACTTGTCACCTGGTCTATCAATGTGTTCACAATGAAAGTAAGAACCAATGGTCATGTACAGAGAGTAATATGAAAATGATACATATACTCTATATATAACAAGTCTCAATCAATATACTAGAGGATTCGTATTAAAAAAGTATTGAAAAACAAGATGCCCAAAGGCAATATTAAAGGAAAAAGAGACCTTTTGTACAATTTTTTTTCTTTCAGGTTTTGCAAATAAAAAGGATGCAATCTTAATAATATTTAGTTAACATACCTGTTTAGAGCATTGAGCATCTCAATAGTAACCAACACAGATAGGGCCATTGTCATGGGTGCTGGGTGGCTGAAGACAGTGCAGTCTATATCTTTAAAGTTTTCCATATCTGTTGTACAGGAGAGATGGTGAGATAGCTGGTAGTAGTTGAGTTGAGGGCCAGTGGGGTCATACATGTACCACCAAGAGGCAGCAAAAACTGTAGCGGCACCAACATAACATCCAATGGCCATGTAGCGGAAGAAGAGCCAGCCAGAGATGAGAGACTCGTCAGCCTTGCGTGGGGGTTTGTCCATGATGTCAAGGTCAGGGGGGTTGAAGCCCAGAGCAGTGGCAGGTGGACCATCAGTAACCAGGTTGACCCACAAGAGCTGGACAGGAATGAGAGCTTCAGGGAGACCAAGAGCAGCAGTCAAGAAGATGGACACCACTTCACCAATGTTGGAGGAAATGAGGTAACGGATGAACTGCTTCATGTTATTGTAGATGGCACGGCCTTCCTCAACAGCAGCCACAATGGAAGAGAAGTTGTCATCAGCAAGCACCATCTCAGAAGCAGACTTGGCTACAGCAGTGCCTGAACCCATGGCAATACCAATCTCAGCCTTCTTCAGAGCAGGAGCATCATTCACACCATCACCAGTCATGGCAGAGATCTCACCTTCAGCCTGCAAGTATTCAACAATCTTTGACTTGTGGAAAGGCTCAACACGAGAGAACAGCCGGGCACGATTGCAAGCTTCCCTCTGCTCCTTGGGACTAAGTTCATCAAATTCACGTCCAGAGTAAGACAGACCTGTTAGATCCTCATCCTCCTCAAACACTCCGATGCGACGGCAAATGGCCTCAGCAGTGGCCTTATTGTCTCCAGTGATGACAATAACACGAATGCCAGCTGCTCGGCATCTTTTTACAGAATCACGGACTTCTTTTCGGGGAGGATCAAGCATTCCAACCACACCAACAAAGGTCATGCTGACTTCATACGAATGGAACTTGGTCGAGTCAGCCAAGTTCATCTGCTCTGGCATTGGGGGATTGTCTATGGTGGCAAGACCTAAGCAACGGAGTGTGTCCCGACCACTGCCATACTGACGAATGACAGACATGATCTTATCCTTTACGGCTGCAGTGAGAGGAACTTTCTGTGTTCCAACACGTACAAAAGCACAACGGTCCAGCACACCCTCAGGAGCTCCCTTGCAGAACATCTTGGATCCTGTGCCCATATTAGAAGACTGGAGGGGAGTGCAATACGTTGACATGGACTTGCGATCACGTGAGAACTCAAGAGTGAAATCCTTCTTCCAACGTGTCTCCATGTCACGCTTTGTTACAAGAGCAGCAGTACGCCGATCTAGGCCAAACTTGGACTGATTAAATGGGTTGATTTTCTCAGCCAGGACAATGAGTGCAGTCTCTGTTGCTTCTCCAACCTTTTCAAACTGATTCTTGAACTCATTGTAGTCCACCGAAGAATCATTGCACATTACCGAGATGGTCGAGAGTTCTTGCAATCCAATAAAATCTGATCCTGCAACCTTAGCACCATTGAGACGAATCTCACCAATGGGCTCATAGGTGGAGCCAGTGATCTCGAATTCCAGAAGAGAGCAGTCATTACCCTCAACCTTATCCATAATGAACATGCGAGAGACAGACATCTGGTTGGTGGTGAGTGTGCCAGTCTTGTCTGAGCAGATAACAGAGGTACAACCTAGAGTCTCAACCGAAGGCAAAGACGACCTTATTTCTTTCTGGCCATGCGGCGAGTGCCAAGGGCAAGGCAAGTGGTGATGACAGCAGGGAGACCTTCAGGGATGGCAGCTACAGCCAGAGCAACAGCAATCTTGAAGTAATAAATAGCTCCCTTGAACCAAGAACCACCATGAACGGGATCACTGAAGTGCCCAATGTTGATGGCCCAAACAGCAACACAAATGACAGAAATGACTTTGGAAAGCTGTTCACCAAATTCATCCAGTTTCTGCTGAAGAGGTGTTCTAATCTCTTCTGTCTCAGCCATCTGAGTGCGAATCTTTCCTGAAAGGATATTTACTTCTTAGTATCTTTAATCTTGACTCTGAGCAAATAAATCTTTAAATCCAAACTGCACATGTTCTGCATAACAGTAAAATCCATATTTCAGAATGAGATACCCAGCAATGTATATCATTCAACATATTTATCATCAACCTTAAAAACTAACTAAAACTTCATGTGCATGAAGTGGCTTACCAATGGCAGTTCCCAGCCAGTGCCCATGAACGATGGCCTGAGAGCCCTTCCAGCAGCAACATTAGTGCCAGAGAGGAAATATGGTTAGTTCTATCTTGATTCCCTATGAGAGAACCGAAATACATTAAGATAAAAATAATATATTTAACGTATAGCACAACTTACAGATATCTCGTCATGTTAACAACTTGAAACCCCCCTTCATATTGCAGGAATGTGGAATAGGACGAGGTTATAGTATGTGCTTTTAAAAAACACCCACAATGTATTGATACATTCTACTCTAATACACAATACGAAAAAATCCAAATGATGAGGGATAGATAGTAAAGAGAAGAAAGAAGGTATAATATCCACTTCACGCAAAAACAAACCCAAATTATGGATAGATATGAAGATTAAAAAGAAAGAGAGTTTGAAGTTATCTTTGAAGTCAATTGATTCCATTTCCTGATATCAATTGTTGTTAATTCGTTAGAAATAAATTTTAAAAATATAATGTTAATAATCTGACTCAGTAAAATATAATAACAAGTTCATGGTAATGTATTTAAATTAAAGACTAATTTTATTCTATCATTAATTGTATATATGTCGCGTTTTACAATATTCACATTTATGTCATCTATCATATATCCAAGTAGTATGGCCTCAGAATGTCAGCGTGTGCAATCTCGCATCTCTCGTTCTTCATATCTTACTACATATATTGATGTCTTTGTATTTTATCTCTAGATTTTCAATTATCCATCAGAGTGTTCTAAAATCAGTTTCAGCATAGAACTTCAATGCTTATTGCGAACTGTGTTACGTTTCGCAGCAAGTATCCATCAATTATTTGTGAATAATTATCTTATATGATGTGCTGGTCACTTTATATCATTAATGACATCGAAACTCTTGAGCTAGTATATCGCATTATTATATATAAAGCACAAATTGCACAATAGTATTAAACTCATTTTAAAGGCTATGTTAGTCTATCATTTGCCACCACCCATTTTGCACTCTGCTTTCTTCATCCCTATCCTCTTTATGGTACTCACATGTCAATTTCAGCAGATGTTAACTATTTTCTAATTCTTCGTCTCTTTATCTTTCCTTCCTGTGCTATGTGTCCTGCACTCAGTCTAATATTGTTACAATCTGACATTGAGAGTCTAATGGAAAGACGGCACGTGCACGTGCACATTCGTCATTGAGCAGCGTGAGCTGGGAACTGGCCATGGGATTGTTTTATTTAGGTTTATCACACTAATTACATATTTCTTTATGTCTTCTTATCTACTTAATTATAGAATTTATGTTATTTATGTGTTGAGTTTCTTGATGTCTACGCCGAAGTTTTGTATACATATGGGTATATATGTGAAGCTGGCAGTGTAAAATTAAATTAATGGAAAATAAGGAGGGACATCTGAGACAAGGTTAATCTTGGAGTAAGATTCGTGCTGGATGGTTCTGGGTACAAATGCATCAGTTCATGACTCTTCGCTTTTTGAAACCTTATTGTGCCATATTTACTGTTTTTTCTTTTTATCTTTTGTTTTTTCTTTTTTTTTTCTTTGCTATTGGATAACTATAGTCATTTGAATTGATTTTGCAAATTTAGTTGTAATGGATTTTAAACAGAATTTAGTGCTCGATAGGAAGAAGCTTGCCCACATCAAGCAACGTCAAATAAGAGTTAAATGCAATATACGTATGAGAAAGATAAAATAACTCGATAGAAATTATTAAAAATATTATTATTGGTCTTTGGTTAATTTGTTATCTTAATACAGTGTATAGAGTATTGTAATTTTTTTCTAAATTATGTTTTAAGAATCTTAATATTTTTGTTGTGTAAAAATTGAACAGCGCACTAGTAACTCTCACACAGGTATTGCGCTCGAGGAATACACTAGTAGGTGGCACAGGACAATTGATAGAAACCAATCACTATTCACTCCATTCAGCAGAACCACTGGCATGGATCGGCAATGTTTGCAACGACGTGAAACAGCTCTTCACCAAACAAACCGCACTACCCAATTTTGTCAATTGTGTTGCTGTTATTGGGCACATCACACATTTGGCACTTCCAGCTCGAACACCGAACCTGTTATCAGTCACCAAGGCAACATTCACATGCATCCACATACACCATCTGGACGCAGACAACCACTTACCGCATCAAGGCAGCACAACATAACACATGACCGCATGACTGCGACACACACACATGCCTACACCGCACACAATCATACACACTACACACATATCAAGCATGAATTTGTGAGCACGCATCTACCACACGAACATTCACGTGCAGTCTGTGCTGCCATCCTGAAAGGTCTCCAAGGGGGGGGAGGTGCGTGCGACAATTAACCACAAACACCACACACACACAGCATTTGCCTTGCCGCACTATGGGCACACCACGCCAGCACACATGGCCACACGAACAAGACAACGACATACGTCTATGTTAATGTGAGGTCCCTTTGTTTCAGTTGAGAACTCGCACTTAAGCTATGGTAACCACACACATACTGTACAAATCCATGGATCTTAAGAAGCCAATAAAGACTTGGACAGCACTGCCACTACCACACACCCAGAAATGTGCCATGTTTCTCTCGGCAGTGTTTCAGTTAGTGATACAAGAACAGAAACTTGAGGAACAAAACGCCAAATAAATGACTGCTCTCTTCTGGGAATGCACGCACAACACACATCGAGATACACACTGGCTCCACCTGCACACTGAGGCATGCGCACACGATGATGGTGCCAGACTACACAACATCGTACGTCACACAGCGCATGGCAGCACACATGACATAACGAAGTCACGTGACAGGGCACTGCAGCAGATTTTGCGTCATTAGGAGTTTACGCAAGAAACACTCATCCGACCATCTCCCGGTAATGTGCAGATGATTCTTCGCGTAGGACCTACAATGAGTTCCAAGAATCAGTTTGAAAATGGGTTGGAGAAGCAACAGATGACTGCACTCATTGTCCTGGCCTGAGAAATCAAACCAGTTAAATCAGTCCAGTTTTGGCCACTAGATTCGGTAAACTGCTGCTCTTGATTACATAGCGTGACAATCGGAGTCACGTTGGAAGAAGGAGTTTCACTCTAGAGTTTACACGCTGACGGCAAGTCGCATGTTCACGTATTGCACTCCCCTCCGTACACGCCACGCAGGCAACACGAGAGCACACCACAGGCCACACAAACCGCACACTCTACTACTAAATATGGGCCAACAACAGCAGAGAGGCACTACCAAGGGCATGTATCAGGCCATGAGCAAGGCACACGGACACGAACACACACACGGACACACTCCCTCCACACGATCACACACACACAGGCACACGACATGCACACACACACACACTGACATCACTACAGACACACATGCACGACCAACCGCCCCCACACACTAGACACACGAGAGAGAGCTCCTTTTGGCGAGCCTCGGTCAAATAACCTATATCATGTATCTTACCTTAGACCTTGACTCCATTTTTTTTTTGGTTTATAATCTTTTATCTTGATGTTAGAAAGGAGGTTTGTCAACATTACTCATATCCATCACAGAACCTAATCGTAGAGCGAGATCAAAGCTGCAGTCTGTAAACGATACTTTTTTGACAAAAGAGGAACTACTTTATGTATAACTCCAAGATTCTGGGTATAAAATCAGAGTCTTTCATGAAATTTGTTACCAGTCAAAACAGATGGCTCGAGGGACTATCTCACCTTTTTTCTCCATTCGGCAAAGAATAGCTGTGTCCTATATGAGCTCACAAACACTATCTACCTGACTAACGAAACTATCCACACCACTGCGCAACGTAAGACAAATTTTGGAGGTGCAAATTGCATAACAGCTTCGCAGCCATGGATTGAATAAACGACCGCAGAAAAGTTTTCAGTTACTCAATCTCGACATGAAAAGCTACTAAAACGACAAAAGTCTTACACTTCACAATAAGGCAACGAATTCCACCAAGCTTCTCTGTGACCTTGTCGACATATGTAAAGAAATTGCGTTCTAGATGGCATAAAGCTAGAAGTACTATAGAATGCGACACAATCATCGAACATGGCACAGCACATGATAAATGACGTCGATACGAGTAGAGTTCTGTAAAAAGGGATGCCTTCCGAGCAGGACAATAGGCATTGCGACGCATAGATCTAGATCAGAAGGTACAAATCAGAACTGAGACACGAGCTGTAGCACGCGTTCTGGCTGAGGCAATTTTCTGTATCTTGTT